AAAAGCCTTCATTACTTCACTGCTATTAGATGCGATCTTATGAAGCCTTAAGTTAGCAGTCAACAGGAGCTGTTGAGTTCTTTTTATCAGATTGATGGCTTCTTCAGGTGTTGGGAAGGATTTCAGACCATCATCTACATAGAAATCTCTCTCAATGAATTGCCTGGTGGCAAATCCAAATTCCTTTTCACCTTCCTGTGCTGTTCTTCTCAGTCCATAAGTTGCCACGGCAGGAGATGGACTATTGCCAAAGACATGGACTCTCATGCGATAATCTATCACCTGATCCTTAATGTCATTGTTGCGGTGCCACAAGAATCTGAGATAATTTCTGTGGTCTTCTTTGACTACGAAACAGTGGAACATCTGTTGGATGTCAGCTGTCACGGCAATGGGTTCCTTCCTGAACCGTATCAACACTCCTACAAGGTTGTTCGTTAGATTTGGACCCGTTAGAAGAACGTTGTTTAAAGAAGTTCCCTTGAACTGAGCGCTTGAGTCGAAGACGATTCTGATTTGCTGCCGGTTTACGAGGATGGTAGACTCCAAAGGATGGAAGGTACCAGCATTCTTCGCCTTCTACAAGGTCTGGTGCTGGCTCGGCATGATGGTTATCTAGAATCTTCTGCATGAATGCTAGAAAGTGATCTTGCATCTCAGGTTTGTTGCGTAGAGTTCTCTTAAGTGCAGCAAATCTGGCTAAAGCTTGTTCTCGATTGTTAGGGAGAGTAAGCCTTGGTACACGAAAAGGTAATGGAGCTACCCAACTGTTGGAGTTGTCCTTGAAGAACTCTTCATTCATAATCTTGATGAACTCCTTGTCTTCGACCGAAGGAGCAATCTTGTTGTCATCACAAGTAGTCTGGTACACTGCATCACCAAGATCCTTGTAAGAAGTGAGCTTGCAAGTAATGCCTTGGAGTGCTTGATATGGAACTTCAGGATTGAAATCAAGTCTTTCCTTCACATAATAGTGCAATGGACATTTCATCGATCGATAGGTGTATGATCCCTCCACATTAGTTTTTGTAAGAAGCTACATCCAAGAGCTTGTGAGATCGATCTAAACAAACTTCTCCTATTATCACCCATCCAAGATCAAGTTTCTGGGCATAAGGAGCATCATCTGGACCGTTGCATAACTCTCTTATTTTATGAACTCTAGGAATGTCTCTCCCTAGAAGAATCAAGATCTTCGCATCCTTTTTAAGTGTAGGAATGCATTTAGCAATGTGGCTCAAATGAGGGTGATGACGTGCAACCTCAGGTGTGGGGATCTCTTCTCTGTTGTTCGGTAATTGATCACATTCGATTAGAGTAGGAAGAGGAAACTCTATGTTCTCATATTCTGATGCCACTATGAAGCCATGGGCTCTTCTTCCAGAAGTATTGACCCTTCCTGCGCATGTCTGCAGGTATAGGACCAGGCCTCTCCATGAATGTTGAATAAGTCAAAGAATTCTGTACTTGCCAACGAGCGATTGCTCTGATCGTCGAGTATGGCATACATTTTTATGGCATTTTGTGGACATCCTTCAGGAAAAACCCTTACAAGACATATCTTGCTGCAAGACTTGCTATGAAGCCCTTCTCCACACACCTCTGTACATCTTGTGGTTACGGGGTCAGCATGTTGCTCAGTTCTCTCCCCGCCATCATCTGAGGTGGTCTTGGGGTTGCTGCCGGGTGAAGGTTTCCTTTTGAACAGGTCTGCATGGAGTGCGTCCACATGCCTCGCACTGTTGCACAGGGAACATCTGATGGCAATCTTACAGTCTCTAGCGAAATGATCGGAGAAGATGCACAACACTTGAAAAACAGATATTATGTTCTTTGAGAAATGTCTTGCGTTCTTCGATAGGCTTGTCCTTAAATGCACGACATTTGGAGAGAGAATGTGGCGCATTATGAATGGGACACTGTTGATCAAGCTTGCTTGCCTTGGTATCTTGTAATTTAGTGTCTGTAGACAAGACGTTGGACGTGATAGCGGTCTTCCTCACGGCAATAGGATGCCTTAAGTCCCTGAATTTACTGTTGGTGGCAATACCCTTTGAAGTAGTTGAAGGAAAGATGGTTGTATCTGGATACAGGAAGCTTGGGTCATTCTTGGTTCTTGCAATCTTCCTGATGAACTCTGCAAAATAGGAAAAGGGGGGAAAAGAAACATGGTGTTCATATTTATACTTTGATCCTACACTAGTCCACTTTCCCTGGAGATGACTAGGCAACTTTGCTACAATAGGATTTACACCCTGAGCAGTGTCTAAATAGCTAAGACCTGGCAAACTAGGATCTGACTTAGCAATTTCAAGTTCATGAAGGAGGTCACCTAACTCTCTAAGCCTATGATTGTCCTTAACAGAAATCTTAGGAAAGTCCTTTAGTCTCTGGAATAAGGCAGATTCAATGACTTCGGGGCTCCCATAGTCTTGTTCCAGACGTTCCCAGGCAGCATTGAGGCCTGCTTCAAAGTTATAAATGTAGACAGATTTAAGTCTCTTTACTTGTTCTGAAGATTGACGCCCCAACCACCTTATTAGTAAGTCAAGTTCTGCTTGAGGTTCAATGTCCAAGTTCTTGGTTACTGCCTTAAAATGTAGATCTCCAACTCCTATAGTTCTCTGGGTGATCGTCGAATCTAGACAGTCCAGTAGTAATTAACTCTCGCCGAATCATGTACTTGCTGAACTCTGCAATATCAACCCTTTCAGTTTTTACATCCACAGGTGATATTGATGGTGCACCATCTTGAATCATGGTTGGTATCTGATGATGGCTGATAGGTGGAGAGAAAGGTATTGCAGATGGGTTCAATCCAGGTAAGGGTCTGGTGTCTGAAGATCTCTGTGCGTTTGAGGTTGAAGTTAACTGTATTACAGGAGGTATAGAGTTCACTCTGTAGTCTTCTGTTGTGCCCTTGTAATCTCTGTTCACATATGTTTGTGGTGGCACATGAGCTGGATAGGTTGGTACACTTAATTTTGTGGCACACGGTAGTTGTGGAGTGTCTCTGTTGGAAGGTGCGTCTGGTTGGTCAGCTTGCTTTGATGACATGTTGCCTTCTGATTGACTTGCTGGATGATTATGGGAAGAATCTCCAACTGTAGGTGGAACTGTATCATCGTGGTTCTGGGTTAAGACAAACTGTAGGGTCCTTTCAACAGGGTCTTGACAAGCAGCCAAGCTGGGACAATATGCTCCTTCTTCTTCTAAAAGGGCTTGTTCCAAGATGGATAATTCTGCTAAGGCTACTTCCTTTTCTCTATTCTTCTGAAGGATTTCTAGCTGGGCCTCTGATTCTGCTTGTATTCGTTTAGCTTCTGCCTTGAAGGCTGCTTCCTTGCTTTTAGCTTCTGCCTTGAAGGCTGCTACCTTGCATTTTTAGCTTCTGCTTCGAAGGCTGCTTCCTTGCATTTAGCTTCTGCTTCCTTGCATTTAGCTTCTGCCTTGAAGGCTGCTTCTCTTTCAGAACAGGTGGCTTGAACCTGGGCTACTGCAACCTTTTGGCGAGCTTTGAGTATTTGGTCGCTCAATGTTGACCTTACAGAGCAGGACCGCAATGACTTAGAAGATGATTTATGATATGAGCGGGCAGATCTATTTGATTTTCCTGAGTGTCTGGAAGAAGCAGATTACAGGATGTAGTTTCATGTAGTTGTGCTAATCTACCCTCTATCTGTGTCTTTGCTTCAATATAAGTGATATGTCTCTGCTTGTCAGTAGCAATAAAGTTCTTTAACTCTAGTGAAGCTTCCTCTACATTGGAATGTGACAAAAGGGAAGAGTACTTTTCAGAAAGTCTTTTATAATTCTCAAATGCCTTCTTAACCCTTGAGAGGGCAGTGTTCAATTGCTCAGAATTGTTGCTAGTTTCATTACTGGCTGTTATACAACTTAAAGTTTTCTCCCATAATGCAGTCAGGTTACTGCATGTCTCTTCCTTACTTGCATCATAAGCCTCCCTTGCCTTCAAAGATGGATGAGGGGCTCTAACAGGACGGGCAGAATGCAGCATGGTGTCTGTTTTATCTTGATTACATGCAGGTGACTCATAAGTGGGATCTCTGTCAGACATAATGACAAGTGCTGTAGTAGTTTTAATGTCTTGTTGGAAATCTGCAGAAATCTGTAGTTACTTTTATTTGCAAGCAGGCTGAGCTGGGGAGCTGAATGTCTATTGCAATGAGGCAGCTAGAGCAGCAGCCTGGCTCACACTGAATGCTTCACTCAGTGCACAGACAAGATTACTGTTCTTCATACAGGAGAATGGTTACTCACAGTTCTGAAGCTGCAGAGATGGCTGTGTGATGAATTCTCATGGAGATTTTACTGGAAATTTACTGTTCTGTCTTGGCATCGGTTGTACTTGTGGCCAGATTCGTTTAGACCCAGTCTGTCAGAATGTGTGCGGCAAGTTGAATGATCGCCTTAACAGATAGTTTACTCAATGAATAACAACTTCAGAGGTATTTTCCAATGCTTCTTTATGCTTCAGGGTAGCAAAGGTATGAACATAAATGGTGTTTTCATAGGTAAATTTCCAGTGATGTACATAGCCTCCTCATTCTACAGCATCTTGATAACCACTAAACTAAAATGGGGTAACAACAGGAAATGAAGGTGGAAGCAACCAACTAGTCAGAAACAGCAGGGGTGTGTGGATGATACCAAATAACATTATAATATAACATGTAAATAACAACAGCTAAACAGTAAAGCTGCGTGGCAGCACACTGAGCAAAGTCGCAAAATTGTTTTCAGTGTCTGGTGATGAATTTCCCCCACAAATCATTATCACTCAATTCTGCAAGTGGTTCTGATTTACTATCGCTGTTCTCTAGCCGGTCTAAAACCACTTTTGATCTAAAAGGGACGATTTTTGGATGCCATGGACATTTCTCAGTTACAGGGCAGAAAGAACAGTAGAAATGCAGGCAGGACACAGGACAAAGTTTGATACAGTAATGTTTTACTATGTCAAATTCGTTTATTAGAATGACAGTTTCTAAAAATTTTTAAATTTGCCGCTGGTTCCGGCCCCCATACGTCCCGACACTCGCAGGGACCGGAACACGGAAGCCGGATGCCGGCATCAGCCGGAGGAGATGGCCGGAGACGCTGCAGAGGACGCATCGCGGGAGCGAAGGACAAGATAAGCGCTGCAGGGAATCCCTGAGCAACGCCGCATGGTAAGCCTGAGTGTAGCTCGGGGTTACCGCTTTTGGTACTGAAACTTTACCCCGAGCTACACTCGGGAATACCGCCAGGGGGGTTAGGATACATTAACATTTGAGTTTATTCAGCATGAAATGGAGCTTAGTTATGTAGCATGAGGCTGTATATTCTGCAATATTTACATTTTTGGTAAACTCATTCAATGAATCCAAGCTCTGCAAGCTGAGATGACTTGCACTGTATTGATGCATTCACACAATTTCACAGTAACCATGAGAAAAAACATGATATAAAAGAAATAAAGAGTCATTCTCCAGCTATGTGTGATTAACCTATTAGCCTAAAATCGATTCTGACATCACTGTTTTACTAACCTGGCAGCTTATTATTCTAAAAAGGAAACCTTCATTTGGTTTGCAAATATTAAAGATTCTAACTACCAGCAAGAATGAGTCGGATTCCTTACATTTAAAGAGCACCTGTCATTTTAGATCCATCATGGCAGCGCCTGTTAGCGGGCATCCACTCACTTGCTGCGGCCACGTCCCTTGCCTTATTGTGTCACTGCCGCATCACCAGCTGTCCCATTAAAATGAATGGGACTGTCTGTGAGTCAACAGTGGGTCAAAGGAGGAGCCGCTGACGGACAGAGATGACAATTGCTCGTTAAAAATAATGATTTAAATTGAACCTTTTCAGTAGTGATTTAAAACATGATTTAAATTGACTTTATTTAAATTAACTCCACCCTGCTCTAAACTGATGACTTGTAAAGACTTTGAAAGCATCACCTATGGAGAATTTTGGATACCATAGGTTTTTTTTGATTCCATGTGTGTGCACAATTTTAAGATATGACATGTTTGGTATCTGTTTACTCGAGGCAATCTCTGCTTTAAAGCAATATATACATTTGGGGGGGTTTACAGTAATTTCTAACAAAAATGCAGATTTTAACGTGAGTAAAACAAAATGAAAAAATTGCACTGGTGGACGGGCTTAAATAAAAAAAAAGTATCCAGCAAGATCTGAGTCTATAATACAGAGCATTCATCTGCCTGCCAGGAAACAAACATATGTTAAAAAGAAAAAAAAATCAACATGCTATAGTTAGCAAATTGACCCTCTAATGACCATCTATGACTGGAGTCTCTAGTTCCCTCCTGTTACTTTCATCATAGCAAATAGGAGTATAAATAAAAATCGACAGGTCTGGCTGCTGTTGACATCATCACCCTGTCAAAGTACTGTATAGAGCTGTCTTCATTTACAATTATTGCATTATTTCACTTTTCTACTCAATCACTTTTCTACTCATATCTATCGCAGAGCTTCTTCAATGTTAGCTATAACGTTACCACCTCCTCCTCACTCCCTCTCTTGTAGGGGTCCCTCAAGGTTCTGTCCTTGAACCCCTTCTCTTCTCCATCTACACCTCCTCCCTTGGTCACTTGATAAACTCCCAAGGCTTCAATTACCATCTCTATGCTGATGACACGCAAATCTATCTGTCTACCCCTCACCCCCTCACCTTTCCACCCACATCGCTAGCCTACTAAGCGACATATCGGCTTGGATGTCACTCCACTTCCTCAAACTCAACCTTTCCAAAACTGAGCTCCTAGTATTCCCCCCTGCCCGTGCCCCCTCCCCTGACTTCACCATAAACATCGCTAACACCATCCTCAGTCCATCCCCTCACGCCAGGGTACTAGGTGTAATCCTAGACTCCCATCTGTCCTTCCAGCCCCAGATCCAATCGCTGACAAAATCATGTAGACTTCACCTCCGCAACATCTCCAAGATACGACCGTTCCTAACGCCGGAAACCACTAAGCAACTTATTCACTCCCTTGTCATGTCACGCCTCGACTACTGTAACTCCCTCCTCATTGGCCTACCTCATCGCAGGCTATCCCTCTTCAGTCTATTATGAATGCTGCTGCCAGACTCATCAACCTCACTAACTGTTCCGTATCCGACACCCCTCTTTGCCAATCCCTCTACTGGCTCCCAGTTGCGCAACGGATAAAATCCAAAACTCTAAGAATGACGTATAAAGCCATTCACAACACTGCCCCAATTTACATAATTGATCTTAGATCTAAATATCACCCAAACCGTACACTCCGCTCCTTGCAAGACCTCTTACGCTCTAGCTCCCTTGTCTCCTCCTCCCATGCTCGTCTCCAAGACTTCTCCAGTTCGTCACCCATCCTCTGGAACTCCCTAACCCAATCTATCAGACTGTCGCCTACTCTACTTACCTTTCGGCGATCACTGAAAACCTATCTCTTCAGGGAAGCCTATCCCACCCTCTGCTAATTCTGGAATCCTCTACTCTTCCAACCACTCCATCCCCCACAGTGACTACCTACTGTACCATTCACCCCTCCCTCCTAGATTGTAAGCTCCAAGGAGCAGGGCCCTCAAATCCCTCTTGTATTGAACTGTATCGTTACTGTATTGTCTTACACTATAATGTAAAGCGCTGAGCAAACCATTGGCGCTATATAAATCCTGTATAATAATAATCATAATAATACTCAATCACCCACTTCTGCTGACATAATTCCACTATGTGACAGGGTTCTATTTTTTCCCCATCTTTGAGCGTATAATTTTGAAAATGAAAGGTTTCTCCCATGAAGCCTGTAATATCTATGTCCTCTAGTTAACAAAAAAATGTTTTAAAATAAAGCTGATTGAAATATCAGAGTTTATAAAGCTAAATCCAACTTTAGCTATCAAAGTGTCCATGGATGGCACAGTATTCATCATATTTACGTACAGCTATAATACTCCAAAAACATTCTAAAAGTTCATATGCTCCTCCAAAAAGAAGTTCTTTTAAAAAGGAATTAGTGTCACCTATTGTTGACATTGGGATTTAAAATAATCAATGATCAATATACTGTACATGTGGCGCTCCCTTCATGTATGACTGTGATTGTGACCCCCTTTGTGACTAATATCTTAATCAATTATTATACTTATCATGATGCTTAAACCACTTACAATAAACAGTAAAAACCAATATATCTGAAAAAAACTTAATACAATAAACATAAACAGGATTCCTTAGTGATAATACTCAACATAGTTCCAATCCAGAAACGTGTTTTCTATCTCCAAAATAGAAATCTTCCTGCACTCTTTGCACAATGCACAGAATTCCACACCAGCATGAAAGTGGGTCCCACCACCTTTCCTCCGTTGCGCTCACCTTTAGTTGTGGATCTAAGATCATATGTTGTTAGGTCTAGACGAGCATTTTACCCTCAGATGGGTATATGTGTAATAGCCGCCACCTTCCTGGCTATCCTTATGGATGACCTTCTCTTTTTATTAAGTCTCGAGGATATCTCTTAAAGAGACTACCGGTATCTACTTTCTCTGCCACCAGTTCATTCATGAAAACATATGATGGCCTCTCATAGTGTAGTAAACCAAATTCCAAGAATTGTATTAATAGTATTGCACTTACAATAATCAAATGGTAAAAGCGCCTTTAAAATCTCACTGTACAGCCGCAAATTTGCTCTCCTGCGGCATCAGCGGCATCCGGCTACTCCTGGAGCTCAGGTGTTTAGAGGTCAGTTGGGCAGTATACAGGGGTCAGACGTTTGTGGGACAGAGTACAGGGGTCAGTAGTATGTAGGGCAGTGTACAAGGATAAATGGTTTGTAGGGCAAAGTACAGAGGTCATCAGTTTGTAGGACAGAGTAGAGTGATCAGCATGGCAGTGACAAGGGTCAATAGTTTATAGGACAGTGTAGTGAGGGCAGTAGCTTGTAGGGCAGGTTACAGGGGTCAGTAGTTTACAGAGCAGTGTACAGGGGTTAGTAGTTTGTAGGGCAGAGTACAGGCCTCAGCCACAATTGTGAAATTTGAGTATTACCATAGAATTCTGGGGTGTAATGTAGGGCCCAGTGTCAGAAAGCTGGGTTTCCGTCAGAGGTCATGGGTCTTACAGCAGGACAATGACCCAAATCACATGTCAAAAAGCCCCCAGAAATTTTTTCAGACAAAGCACTGCAGAGTACTGAACTGGCCAGCAATGAGTCCAGATCTCAATCCCACAGAGCACCTGTGGAGAGATCTCAAAACAGCAGTTGGGAAAAGGATCCCTTCCAATCTGAGAGACCTGGAGCAGTTGGTCCAAAATTCCAGTAGAGAGGCGGAAGAAACTCATTGATGGTTACAGGAAGCAATTGATTTCAGTTAATTTTCCCAAGGAATGTGGTACCAAATATTAAATTGAGGGTGCCAATCATTTTTATCCAGTCCATTTTTGGGGTTTTGTGTGGAATGTCTCAGATTTGTTTCTCCACTTTCTTGTGTTACACCAATACAAATAAAATAAATAAATACGAAAATGCCTAAACATTTGTCATTGCAACACTTTTCTGGGTGAAGTGGTGCATTATCTGAAATAAATGCAGGGGTGCCAGTATTTTTGGCCATGTCTGTATATTGGACATCCACATCAGTCCCTGTCTTCAAGGCACTTAGGGGTTGATTTACTATAACTGGAGCACTCATAATCAGCTGTGCATGGTAGGGAATCTGCTTCTAACTTCCGCTTGTTCAGTTAAGCTTTTTACAATAAAACCTGGAAGCTGATTGGTTTCTATGCAGAGTTGCACGAGATTTTTACACTCCAGTTTTAACAAATCTCTCTCTTACAGTCTAACCTCCCAATCCCACATACATGCACATACTATGTTTAATTTCTTAATAAATTATTGTGCAACTCCCTCTTCTGCCCAACAATTCTTTCTCCGCACTACAGAAATCACCAGTGCTATAAATTAACTGAAAAGCTGCCATATTTAAATCATATGAACTAGTTTCTTCTATATATCCAATAGACGGCACAGCATGGTAACGTAGCGCCATCTTGGAACACCCTTTGTTTCTTTGCCTACACCCAACATATGGGAGAAATGCTGTATTATCTACTGCTTATGTGAGTTTGAATTTCGCCTATTTGACTTTTATTATTAAACGGTCTACACTATGGAGGATGTCTTTTTTTGTCTTGTGGGTATTTGAGCTGTGATCCATCTTGCTCACTGGCCCGTAAGGATATCCTTGGAGAGGTGGAAACAGTTTGCTGGGGAATACTCTCA